TTTTGCATGTTTCTCGGAAGCAAAATGAGCAAGAACGCTCGTTTTTACATCATTCCAGAGATAACTAAATGGCCTTTATTCGAAGTTTCTCAAGACCCATTCGAGCCACAGAATTCGTTTTGGCATCGTTGGATAGAGAATTGAAAACTCGATTCAGTCGTAACAACGTTAGTGAGGAAATTCGAATGGTTTTGGCCCAGAAAGCGAAATTTGAATATCAGACACTTAAGTGCAAGATTATGCCAAAATACCATGTTTTTCGTCCCATATTTGCTCATTTCTCGGAGGCAAAATGAGCAAGAACGCTCATTTGCACATCATTCTAGACAGAAATAAATGGCCTTTTTAGAAAATGAACCATGGATGGGAAAATGTTGGCAGTTTTCTCAAAAAATGCTTGAATTCAAGAAGTTTTAGATTTGAATGGTTTTTTTGTTAGTTGCAAAATTCACTTGAACATGACGCTACTTTTTTCGAAGTTTCTCAAGAACCATTTGAGCCACAGAATTCGTTTTGCATCGTTGAATAGAGAATTAAATGGGGGGGTCATGACCCCCTCGACCCTCCCCCCCTGGATCCGCCCTTGATCACATCCGATTCGGAAATGATTGAGGATGGGGCGTCAGCATGCAGAAACCTGGTAAGAGATTTGCAATATATATGCATTTTTCAAAACACTTAGTTTGAACTGGCGTAGGTTTTTTAAGAGCGAACCGATATTTGACCGCTTTTTTATATTCCAATTTCAATGGAGCTTATAATTATTTTCTCTACACTACACAACTGTGAGTTGGGAAACTTCTAATGCACGGTCTACCTGTATAGAGTCTCTTCTATCTGAGTGCAAAGTTTCAATGTTTAGTCGTCATGAGGTATTTTTGGGAAATTTTTCAAATTTACGTTTGAATTTTGCGATTGTTTAAGTAGATCGAAATTTTGCATGGTTTAACTCGGAAACCATCAAAATAAGAAATTGTTTTTATGTGAGTTTCGTTGCGCAAAGACTGATATATCAGTACAAAAAGTTTCAGTTTTGAGTCATCATTAGACATTTTTGTGAAAATTTTGAAATTGAGTAGATTTTGCAGTTGTTTATGCAGGCCCGACTTTAATATTTTCTTACTCGCGAACTACTACAGGTGGAGCATGGAGGAGTCGTTATATCTGTGGGTGAAGTTGCGAATTTCTGTCTTCATCAGAAATTTTTTGAAAAAATTTTCGAAATTGTGTGGATTTTGCTATTATTTTAGCAGGCCGAAATATATCATTTATTTGCTCAGAAACTCAGAGAATTACTTTTTAAAACATTTTATCGAGCGGAGACTACTCTATCAGTGAGCGAATTTTTTATTTTAACCCTTTATCAGATATTTTTTGGAGAAATTTCAAAATTTGCGAGTGTTAATGCAGACCGAAGCATAGCATTTATTTCCTCAGAAAACACGCAAACTAAAAAATCAGCTTGAAATGCATTTTAACGATCAAGATTTCTTCTAACAGTGGGCAAAGTTTCGATTTTCAGCCATCATCAGACATTGTTTGAAAAATTTTCAAAAATAAGTTTGAATTTTTTGATTGACAAAATAAGTATTATTAACACTCATATCAAATCCCGCAAGAGGTCCATTCAAAAAATACCGTTGGTAGGTAACTTCCAGACAAATCTTCTCCCCATATTCGTACCTACCACCATTTAATTTCTTCGTCCTAATGGGGCTTTTATATTCTCCTCCTGAAGTCAACGACGACGTAATGCTGGGCAATCTTATGTCCAAATGTGATCCTTTGGCAGTCACTATTTTATTATTCATTGCATACAGTTTCGTAGTAATGTCTCTGGCAATTAGCGTGGTCAGCACTGTTGCTATATAGGTTTCTTTGACAAACAAATATTCCAAGCAGGATCTTTGCCAGTAGAGGTACCTGCAGGTGCTAGCTGCAACTATTGCCACCTAAACCGTAATAGAATTAAATTATCCATAATAGTCGACTTACAAACTTGCCTTAAATTTGTCATCAACAGTATTGCGGCTGGATTCAAACTCGGGAGAATCCATAAACTCACATGGAAGAATCGGGTGTAGGAACTGATTATCTGATAACACGTTGACCTAAAATCAACCTCGCTAGATACTACAAGTCGAAGATACTACAGATCCTGCCTTTCCCGAAAGGAGCAATCCCAGTCGATCAGTCCTGGTGAGATTTTGCACAGCATACGCTTCCCCAGCATGCAACGACATGATTTGGGCAAAATCTGGACCGACCATTCTCTTAAATTGCAGCCGGCTCATCTGCAACATGTACCAACGTGCAAAACTCCCCAAATTAAAAAGTGTTTCTACCTTAAACGGCTCAAACAATGTATGATAGACTTCCTCCAGCTCAGGATCGAACTTCACTGGCCTCAGCTGATATACAATGTGGAAAACCTGGGCCAGATTCATTAGCATGAATGCAAAGTTCCAGGTGAAGACATCTGGGGCGCAAATGATGTTCCAGGCCCATGTGGCAAATAACATTAGACCTGAAAGGGGTTGCCATTGGGTGAATATGATCAGACGAAAATAATAAAAGAGATGGATTTTCGTTGTTAAAATATCTTCAATAGTGGCTACCTAGAATCAACCAGCAGTGCATGAAAAGAACGCCTTTCTTCGAACATGTTGAGGAGTAAGCCAAGACGAAACAAACATTGGCCAGTTGGTAGAGAATGTGTTGCGGTTCTTTCCAATAGTCGCACCAGGGCCACCAGGTTCCTAATTGAAAAAGAGTAACTTATTGGTGAAAGTTCAGAGTGCGTTGAGAAAGATGCTTCAGCCCAAACACTGGAAAAGGTATACAAGCACTAATTTACTGAACTTTCCTACTCCGATTGAGCAGCGAAATGAGTTTTTTAGTGACGTGTGAATGAAATGTGTGTCGGAAATGGTTATTGGTGAATGACGAGATAAAATGGAACAAATGTCTGAATATTCTCGGCTTAAAGCGATTCTATTCATTTGCTACAATCAACTAACTCCAGAAAATTTCTTGACTTTAAGAAAGGTGGTGAAAGCAACAATTCAAGCATGCACTTTTTCTGAATATAAGCGAAAGCTCGGTTAAAAACTTTCTGGGCTGGAACTGAATAAGGCAGGCATGCATTTATTATTAATAATCCGTTTCAGTTGTGTTTTTTTGTAATAATAAAATCAACAGCGGAACAACTACCCTAACTGAATGCAATTAAACTGTTTTTGATGCCTTTAATTTGTGTTAAATTGTGTAAAAAGTTTGAAAAAAGTGTCTATATTTACAAGAAAAATTGAGTGAAACTAACTGTACCTCCTTCTGTAGAGTTCGAGAAAAAGACATCAAAAATTTGTCTGACAATAACTGTAAACTTACGACCTTGGCTCGGGTTATAAAATTCGTCACAGACTGCAGAAACGTGAAAATTATTACTTTATATCTTCATAAAATTTAAGAAACGAAAAAAATGCAGGCACTGAACAGTGGAATTTGTCGTTTTTTAAGGAAAAAACTAAACCAAGTGTTTTAGTCAGTGAGATAAACTGGAAATTTGTTGCTCAACTCTTACCTGATGGAATTCGATAGCTAATGTTCCGGTCTTTATCAGGCCAGGATAAATTCAATCCGGGACTCACATACAAAAAGTGCGGACGTTCTTCGTTGGGTTCAAGTCCAGCAGCTGCTTGTGAAGGCATTTTTATCCAACAATCTGTTTGCAGCTATTTGGTGCGGAAAACATAAAGAAACTGGCAAAAGGGTGGTTTTCAGGGTGGAAGTCAGTGCGCTTATCAGGAATGATAATCAATACTTTTAGGGGGAGCTTTATGGAGCGGATTTCCGCGTTGGACGCGTTTTTGGTAGATGGCGGTAGAAATTCGTATTCAATAAAAAACAATTTGAAGTGACGCAGGTTTTCTGAAATAAAAACCCTTCAATGTATTTTGATTTGCAATTGAAACTTCAGAGTTTTTCAAAGCAAATTTCCAAATATTCAGTAGCAATTTATGGCTTTAAGGTGTTGGGAGCCAGCTGCTCCATGACAAAATCCTTGGCTTAAAAAATTTTATGCTACGATTTTTTCGAAACATTAAATTTCCGATCGTGACCAATCCTTTTCAAATATTTGTATTGAAACCCAATAACCCTTTTCTCATCTGTCGATTGATATTTATTGCGATTTTTCTGCCGCATTTCGTGTTGGATTGAAATAGACGGGGTAAATACGATTTGGTCTTTAGAAAAGGGGTTTTCGATGACAGGTAATAAATATTTGCTTTTTATATGTTTGAGTTTTGAAATCTGTTCTATTGACGATTTAGTCTTCAATATCGAAATTTTTCATTCCTAGTGCTCATATTTTTTTGGGTATTTTTAGTTTTGGGTTGGGGGCTAATTTCTTGAGATTTTCAATGGCAATTGGGCTTTACACGTTATCATGTACCGTACTTTTTATACATAATAACGCGAGAAAAGCCTGGGTTTTAAGCAACGAAAATGGAAATGTATAAGTTTTAAAATGTTTAAGATATAAAAAGTTTCTTAAGAAAAATACTTTCTGGGCTTGTCTAAATATGCGACAATATCTTTCGATCACCTTTCTTTAGAGGCAATGGCATTTTTACAAATACCAAAGTTAGAGAATCCAGATGGAAAAAATACGTCAATTGACGATTGATTTTATATAAAATCTAATAGAGAGAATTGTAACTTGAGCTGTATTTTTTTAAATAACCGATATAAAACCGGTTTTCGAAACACGTGAATGTGCTTTAAAAACTCAAAACTAAAAAGATTTCGTAAATTTAAAATTCTCTAAAGCTTCTTAAATGCTCTAACAGCTTTTCAATAAATTTGTCAATTAATGTTTGTCGTTCCTTGCCATCTAATCCAATACGAACGAAGATAAACACGAACAGTCCAAGTTTTGGTCCAAGCCAAAAATGATTGAAAAATGTTCGCATTTGCTTGTTCTTCTCTCATTTCTTGGGCCAGAGCAAAAGCACAAAACAGATGAATAATTCTAAATTTTCTATGTAAAAAACCATCCCTAATTCCCATGGGAGATAATTTGAATAACAAAACAAAGTTCGACATTTGAAGACCAAGAAACCAAACTTTTCCTTCTTCAGTTGTTCAGCCTGCTGGTGAGACTACTGACGGTTCATAATTCATGATTAATCTCACTACAGCCATTCTGCGATTGATGAAAGATTTGTGTAAAAAATCATCTAGCTTTGCCTGAATCTACTGCCTAAGTTTCCCATGTAGAACGTTTGGATAATTTCAAAATAATCAGCCGGAGAAATGAAAGCTTTTTGCGGGTGGTCTCAGCTAAAACAACGTGTTTACTCACCATGTGCATTAACAGGAACAGATGTGGAAGTAACATGACTTAAAGCCTGAATGGCAAACATTAATAAAGGAGAATGTTGCACTATCTCTAAGTGCCGGTGCACTACAACCTTCTTAATTAAGATTGGAAATGAAAATTGCCTCCATGTGGAAACTAGTAATTGCCCTCATACAGCAGCAGATTTTTAATATACTCCCCGATCAAATACAAATCCCAAATAATTAAAATAATATCTCTATTTGTTTAGGTGGACCCAATATCGAAAAACCCTTTTGAATGTTATGTTGTTAATTTTTAGGTAGTTTCACCGAGGGTATACAGGTGCTCATGATACATATTACACGGAAGCCAGCACCAATGGATGTTTTTGCTATTATTTTATTTGGTTTATATGAAACAATTATTTACAAATCACTTATAAAGCTTAGTGGTTGATTGATAACAAAAGATAATCACTGTCACCCAAAGTTTACCGAATTTAATTTGCTTGTTCTTAATGGGCATTTTGGCTTCATTTACTAGGGGCTTTAGTAGGAGAAGTCGGAGGTTTTCTCTATTCTGTTAAAAATTTGCGGTTTTCCCAAAAAATTTTTTAAAAACAGATTTGCCTATAGAAGCAGGAATGTTTAGGACTTCACCTCATTTTCTGCTTGCTTTTCATGTTGCGACCTGTTGCTTCCCCGTTGCCGCCAGATTTGCTGCTGTTTCAACACTATGCTTTTCAGAACCCCACACTTTGCCAATAAACACTTGGGAAAAAAATTGCTGCCTTTAAACAAAACACTCTAAAATGGGCATAAAAATCCAAAAAGGTATTCAGCACATTTCTGGTTAAAAACTCAACCTTCAAGGGAGACAGAGTATTAAATAAAAAGACGTGTTGGGTGGATATGGTTGGACTGTTTCTTTCTTCACCAGTTTCACCTGTTTGTTATAGTTAAGCCTTAATTCCTCTTTTCCTCGATTTATATTCTGCTGTTCAACGTTGCTAATTTTTCTGCGTCGATGAACACCTTCAATATATTCAACCGTTGTTGATAGACGTTCTATTCTTCTGACCGTTTAGGAAATAGCATTGCAAAAATACTCATCAACAAATCAACTATCAACTTTATGTTTAAACATCTGAAATATGCTTTTTCCAACGAACAAAATCCATTAGTTGCTACAGTTTTTCATGCCAGTTGAATGCTGAGCCTCCAATCGGAACTGATGGACATTTATCTCCCCTCTCATCTACATTAATAGCTTTTACATTTAAAATAGAATGGAAACAACCAACAATGGCACATCCGAACATTTAGCTCAACTGAAATGGCTCTAATCCGCCGGTTACATTGTAACGCACCTGTTYGAGCTGAAAAGCTGAGCCTCTGCCATGCTCTAATCTTTTTAATCTTCAAACAGTCTTACTGGACCAGGGTGGCAATAAAACCGTTTAGTCTTTTCSGGTTATCCAAAGATAAAAAGTTCTAACACAGTTTTCGCAGAAGTTGAACCCGAACAAAGTTCCTAACAATTTCTACAAATTTGTAATTTTTGTACTTTTTTTGTTAATTTTTCATTTTATGATTGATTTCTACTATAGTTTGGCTTCTTTTTCATTTACTTTACCCGAAATGTTAAGCTGAATCAATGTCAACCAAATTCAGAATGGATTAAGATCGTTTTTCAGTCCAGATATATTCTACTGTTTAATTAAAAATCATAAAAAACATTAATATTCTCGAAACAGTATCAGCAAATCTATTGAAAATTTATTTATTATTAGCTATTGAGTGGATCTGTTTCTATAGAATGCAACTATTCTTTGGTCCATCAGTGGCGTGCATATGGACAGGATAGTTCAGATTCATAAAAATAGATCATTTATGATTTAACAAAAAATGAATTTCCTCTTTCATCCCTTGTTCAATTGTACAGAAAAAACCTCTCTAGAGGTTTTTTGTAGAGCGCATCAATTACGAGTAAAAAATGAAAAAGGTATTAATTATTGCAGGTCAAAAAGAATTTTTATTCAAATTTATTGACGAATTATTTTTATGAGAAGGAAAATTTTGTTAAAAAAATGGAATTTTAAAACCGCGGATTTTTGTAACCATTCCTAAAGAATCCTGATTTTTTGAAACTTTTAATCTTGGAATAATTGATCTGGGCCAGCGATTACCTCCACAAATTTGTTAGACTACTTGAATCATCCTGGTTATATTTTGAAAAAAATGTGAGTAGAATTGAATTTAAGAAGCGTCTCATGTGAAAAAGACATAATTGTATCATCCAATTTTTGCCTTCAATAAAATGAATTCATGTTTATAATTTGTTCGTGTTGTTGCAAGAACTCTCGATCTCGTTTAACTCGTAATCTGTACTTTAGTTGAATATCTCGTGCATTTTTGTCCTTTAATAATGAGTTCTCTAAGACGCCGGTTTATTTAATTCCCACTCGACAAAAAAAATAAAAAATAAAATCTCAACTCATCATTTACATTTAACTGATTCACTTCAATTCACTCTCACTCCACAAAAGTGCATCTTTCCAATGTGGGCCCATGAGCGTTCATTTTGCAGCCAGCCGCCTGAGACTGATTTAAAAAACCTTGATTCACATGTGTAAAAGCCTTTATTGAAAATATCCGCCAATTATTTCATATCCTACTTTCATACAAAACTCTCTTATATACATAGAACTATAAAAATCACATTTCATTTAGACTAGATTGAGGTGATTGACTCTTCATGGACTTTCCTAGGAACATATATTGCATAGCACTGAAAAAGCTCCCTATCCAGACATTTTCATGTAGTCGCTTGCTTCATACATTCCATTATTGTTGTATCCATGTGGATGGCTGGGGAACGTCAGGCAATTCTGGCTGTAGGGTTCGAATCTCGGAAAATACGGCGCGTTGTAGGAATTCAGTTCATTTGGGTACTGGATGGGGCTTTGGTAGCTTTCGCATGGACTGGACATGTTGCTGCTTCCACTGCCAAAGGCTGGATTGTAGTCCTGCATGAAACTCGCATTGGTTATGCTGCCACTGATTACCAAAGCATTTGAGCGCCTGTCCTCGAATCCCTTGGAGGTGATGCTGCTGCTCCCTTCTTTGTTAATGGACACCGTCATATTGCCTACATTGATTATGACGCTGTCTTTGGTCGAATACTTTTCCACATCCTTAGCAGCTTCCGAAAGAGCGTGGATGTAGTTGTGCGCAAATCGCAGCGTTTCGATCTTGGTCAGCTTGGTGTCCTCGGGAAAAGTGGGCAGAACGCACCTAAGCCGATCCAAAGCCTCATTGAGCATGTGCATCCTATTCCTCTCACGATCGTTAGCTTTCAGTCTTCTCACGCGTTTTATTCGCATTATTTGCGTGGGACTTTTAGCTCTGGACACCCGATTGCGTCCGGTTGCGTACCGCTTCTTCGGTCGCTCTTTTCCACTATCGTCCTCCAAGGGTGGAGTCAGACTGCCCACAAAACCATCCCTAGCCTCGTTGAATTCGCTGCTCAAATTCCTGCGGCAGTTGGGTGCTGATTGCTGTGCCCGAAACCCCGGCCGTCTATCCAGCTCCACCAAGCTGCTGTAGAAAGCCGAATTGAACTTGTTGTAGAGGTCCTGGTTGAAACCTGGTGGGTTCGCTTGTTTGGTTGGAGTGTGAAGTTCATTGTCCAGATCAAACAGGTCACTGCGGTCATCGGTTTGCTCGGTAGTTTCAGATTTGTAGGAAAACTCCAGGCCGGAATCGCAGCTGTCTTCGTAGGAGGACTCGTATTTGTAGGTTCCATAGTCAGTCATCCTGGAAAATAATTTTTGATCAGTTACCATCCTCAGATCAAACCCTAAATAGGCTAAAGGTAGATTTTAATGAGTGTTTTTAGCGTTAGTGGATTAGTTCAGGGCAACTGAAAAAATTGCCAACGAAAGTCCAACTTGAAGGGTTTAAAAACTCGAGACTGTTTTATCTTAACAGCTTCCGAAAACTATTTCAAGCCGCAAAACAGGTTTGTCAGTTTTCCTTAGGATCTCGTCAAGGCTTTAGACTTGTTTGATCAAAATCGGTTCGATGCTTTTTATATCAGAAATTATAAATTATTGTATATAATTTCCTGACTGTGTTTCAATTCCAAATAAAAATTAATTCCTGGGTTTCAGTCATTTATTGTCTTTATTGTACGTACTTTCCTGACTGTGTTTCAATTCCAAAATTAAAATCAAATCCTGGGTTCTTCAGTCATTTATTTATTGTTCATTTATCAATTTAAAAAAACGTTTCGGTGTTTTCCACCATCATCAGTTTTAATGTGTAGCGTTGTTGCTACTTAAAAAAAAGTACATTTCCAAAAATGTATGCCACGGCTTTTAATTGATAAATAAAGACAATAAATGACTGAAACCCAGGAATTATTTTTGATTTGGAATTTTAAATGATGTATATATATATATAAATAATCTTTATTTCCTACAGAAAAAGGCTATCGACCCAATCGGTCTTTCTGCCCTTAAATGATGTTTAATCCAAGTTTGAAGATTTTGCTTATGATTGTAAGGTGGCTTCAATTAGCGCTTGTTTTAATAATACTTTTTTAGGTCTTTCCGTGAAGTCTTTTTCTCAGTTTTTAACCTTATTTTGATGGTTTATGGTTGTTTTTACGTGAAACTTTCAAATGCAGAAAAATTCAAATTTGAGACAAAAATTTCAAAAATTATCAGTAGTTTATCCTATTGAAAATTTATTTAAGATGGTAACATTTCTCTAGCCATTAAATTCATCAGATTTGTTTAATTACAAATTTTATTACTTTTTAATCCGCTAACTCGGCGCGACAACAACCTCTGAAGATACAAATTACTCGTGCTTCGAAAAGTCAGGAAAAATTTGTATTCACGACGGCCTAAAAGCTAATTTAGAATATAATTCTCGAAAGCAAAAAACCTATTACGACCTGAGTAAGTAGCCCGATGTTTTCCAGCTTTGCTTAATCAATTTTACCAGACGATTTTTATTTTAATAAGACGAAAAAAAAATTTCAAGTTTCAGATGCTTTATTGCATGTATATAATAAACTGCGGAAAGAATGCAACGTGTTGGCTGCATTCTTATATTTATTATTAATTTGTACGCAGACAGAACATTCTAGAGCGGACATCGAAGAACAGAAACTCTTAAGAGCATTTACCAACTTTTAATCAAACAAATATTTCAGGAAAAATTTAAATCAAATTACCAAAAAATAAATTATCACACTCCTACAATAATGCCCAACATAATTTGTTTATATGCAGTTGACATAAACAATTCATATTTAAAATTTCTGTCGCAATAAAGTGTTGTAGTACAGAAGAAAATAATCCCGTTATAGACTTCTAAATTATTTTGAAAAGGTCCTGCCAGTAAGATTCATAAAATATTTACAACCTTTGACACAATTACTTTTATTGACCTCGTTTAGTGTTTAAATTGATGTTTAAATATTAAAAATATAATGATAGCTTGAGTTTAAAAACACGCTTATGTAGTAATATTAGACTTATTTTATTACGGAAAAATTGGCCCTAAAACAACGGCTTCGAATGAAGATGGAGAATGAATTACGCAAAGGAGCAACAAAAATCTAAAATTATTTGAGGTCATCTTTTATTGCTTGTTTTCATCATCAGTTTGACCCTGTATGCTCAATATTCGTTTAAATTTGCAGTTTAGAGTGTCTCTAGATTATAAGAGAAAAACCAAACTGGAAAATATACACAGTGAATATTTATTGAAAATGTTTGATTTTTAAAAATAAATTAAAATAAACGTCTCAAAGATTTAAAATTGAACTCTCTCGGACTCAATGGCACTTTACAATTCAATTCATATTTTAAACAAATTTCTCGAATTATTTTTGAAATACGCCTTTTGTCGTTTTCCCAACAAAGTTTACTTACACTAATTTCAGGAAATAATCCAGTAAAAAATGAATTAAGTGAATGAAACACTACCGACCGTTAGCGCACAATCAACAAATCGGTCGGACACATTGACACAGATCGCATTCAACACCGACGGGGTTTTTTTCCCAACTACACAGACCATAACTGAAGAATGGGGTGGATGATTTATCCAAAGCTCGCCCCCTCCAATGGTTAAGCTCACATTTCGAAGATAAAGCCAACCTATTCATTGGTTGACGGCTATTTAGTGTTGGGAGGGGCGCTATTACTGTCTTTTGACACTTTTTTTCGTTTTCGGAAAAGGCCCTAATTTTTTTTAAACGGAAAACTGATTTTACTTGAAAAACTGCGAAGGAACAAATTGATACCTAGATTAGTAGAAACCACGAAATCAACGAGGAAAAGTCGATTGATGTTCCAAAAAATAATGTGGGAAAAACTACAGCTTCATGAAAAAAATTAAAAGACAGAATAATTTGAGGCGATTTACCCAATAAAAAAGTTTTCAAAACAAGAATCCATATAGAACGAAGAATATCCAAGAAATATGTTTTCTGGTCTGGATTAAATGATTCTTTTTGCGACCGCCACTATCTTCGACTTGTTAAACGAACCGTTTCTTCTTTTGCCTTTAAGCATCAGTAATTGTCTATTTGGTCATTTGACTTTGCCTCTTCCTTTGAGAGAAAATTGCATCCAGACAATAAAGATTGTGGCAACTAATATTTAAATGAAATTATATAAAGCAACAGCTTGCACAATTTACTACTTAATCACCAGTATAAATTGGATTGAGTTCGTAATCTGTAGATGAATGCAAATTTGCTGCACTTTTCTGAATATTTGCCCCCAAAGCATGCGTTGCGAATGGCATAAAATCGAGAATTTTATGGAAATCTACGTACAAAGGCTATTTAGACAAGTCCCAATTCCCAATTTGTATGGCTGGAATAAGAGTGTGTATGAATTATACAGTGAAGCTTAGTCACCCCAAATGGGAGATTATGACGGATTTCGACCTTACTTTATTTTGTTATCATGCCCATTATCAGACTAATCCTTTGGGGATTTGCCAGTTTTATTAATTGATTAGGCACTTTTTAAGATTCAGACTTTAGATTAAGTGATTGTCTAAATTATTACTTAGCTGAGGAATGAAAACTTCTCCATTTAATAATGATTCATACTAATTCTTACCGGGCCTCAAGGGACAACTAGCACTTTTTCTCGTCCCCATACCATAAGCATAAAATACTATTATTTATCTTTTTAGAGCAGTTATAATAGAGCAAGCCGACCCGTAAGTGCCTCAGGGGGCCTTTACTTTGGGACTGCGGCCCTAAAAATCCGATAATTTGGTCCTATTGTCTCCCGGCTAACAAGGGATTAGGGTTAGGGCGGCTTTTAAACCATCCGCGAAGATACTTAACATGCTAAAATAAACACAACTCTATGGCTCGATAAATGCTAGAAAAATAAGCGAGCAAATTGCAAGTGTATGAATGTTTGAGCGTGTTTTTTAATAAGTTTTTCCTCAAACGAAAAGGATGAGATCAAAAAACTAGTGAGTGAAACTCTAGTCTTTGAACATATTTTACATGCAAATGTTGTTTATTTAGTTTTTCTAACGGGTTTTAGCAGCTGCGATAAAGATATATAAGGTGTCAAGTCAAAGCTTCACAAAAATCTCCGTAAATGTTTGTTGCTATTATTATGATTATTTAGGTTTCTTTTTGTTTGTGTATCCGCATTTGTAATGTCTACATTTGATACTATTTCGTTTTAGGCTCTGTTCGGTGCAGTCTGTTGTCTGTTCTCTTACAATATTTTTAACAAGCTGATTTATGTACCTTTTATTCAATATTATATAATTTCAATTGAATGATGTAGAATTTGACATATTTTTGTTTGTTTTTACATGTTTTTACAGAAAATTTACTGGAACCTTTTCTGAAATTTTTGGTCAAAATCAAAAGTCTTACGGCTTAAAACGCTTATATGAAACGTATGGATTTATAGTACGGAAGATATCGTCGGTTGAAGATCGCGACTGCAAAATGAACCAAAAATGTCGATTATTTCGGATTTGAAGCTTCCAGCGTGCTTTTGAATGAGCTAATTGCGTTCCTCACATTTGTTTGATGTAAATAATGCAGAATTTCAGGAATTTTATGAGACTTGTTATTTTTTGAAAAAAAACGACCTCAACCACAATCACATATCGAAATTTTACTTGCGCGTTTTTTGAAATAAATGCATTGCTTTTGACCTAAGAACCTCCCTAATATGCAAAAAAAGTGTTTGGGTTCAAAATCAGAAATATATCAACGGCTAAAGATCGCGACTGCACAACAACCGCTTAAAATTGGTAAAAATATCGGTTATTTCGGATCTGAAGCTGCCAGTGTGTTTTCCAATGAGTTCATTCATTTTGATAAAAATGATGTAAAATTCGCGGTATTTTGAGGGGTTTGATATTTTTTGAAAAACCTCAACCCCCAATGAAATTTTCGGTCAAAAATCTAAATTTTACTTGTGCGTTTTTTGGAATAAATTGATGGGTTGCGACCTAAGAAGGTTTCCAATATGCAAATATAAATTGTTTGGGTCTAAAATAAGAAAGATATAAACGGTCAAAGAAATGATCGCGACTGCACAAAAACTGCTTAAAATGGACCAAAAATTTCGATTATTTCGGATCAGAAGCTTCAGCGTGTTTTCCAAAGAGAATTGCATTTCTTACATCCGTTTGATGAAAATGATGTAGAATTTCAGGCATTTAAAGAGATTTCATATTTTTTGAAAAAATTGACCTCAAGCTCAAGAAATTTTCCATCAAAAATCAAAATTTCACTTGCGCATTTTTTGAAATAAATTGATTTGTTGCGACCTAACACGGTATCAAATATGCAAATCCAAAATGTTGGGGTCTAAAACAAGAAAGATTTCAACGGTTAAAAATCGCTTAAAATAGACCAAAAATTTCGATTATTTCGGATGTGGAGCTTCTGGCGTGTTTTTCAAATGAGCTCATTGGCATTTCAGGCATTTTAAGGAACTTGATATTTTTTGAAAAAATCATCCTCTAGACCTTATAAAATTTCTCAAAAAAATTAAAGTTTTCTTGAGCTTCGGATCTGCAGTCTCCAGAGCGGTTTTCAATGGAATCATTGCACTCCATACGAGTGATTGAAAAATGTACAAATTGAGGCATTTCAAGAGACTTAAGATTTTTTGATAAAATAATGGAAATAAGAAACAGCCACTCAAAAATAGCAATAATAAATATTTGATCAGTTACTAACGGAAAACTAGGTTACACCATACGGGTCCAATTTGTTTTATTACACTACTATTTGCCCACATGAACCCTTTCGGTCATCAAGCAAGCTGTTCGACCAGTTAGCTCCAATTGGTCTACAAAATCCCAAATATTGATAAAAGATTTTTTCGGTAATTCTATATTTCGGTCAGATTGAAAAAAGATTTGGACAGATGGCCATAAAATCGAGCACAGTGGAAATTTAATTATTCAAAGGGAGCAAATAATTGCTATTGGCAATCAGTGGGGTGCCTCAGTTTGCTGCATTGTACTTGGAATGGTCCAAACTAACCCTTATGTCCAAATGGTATTAGGGGAAGGTGCCAGGCGATAGCTAGGGGGTGAAAAGACGTTGCCACCAAACGTATTTCATGCAGATCAAACATCTACTTGACTGCATTGCCATGAATAAATGATTTGCGATAGTTTGTTAGGCTTAATTAACGCACATATTCATTTGAAGCTCTTAATGAGATATGAATTTGGATTGGAATAATGATGTTGCTTTTCGCATTTAGAAACTAATTTAATTATTTTTTGGCATCTACTTAGACTCTTATGAGAACACAAATCTGCTCAAATCCCACCAGAAAATTCAACATAAAAAACCCTGCCCTATCAAAACATTAAATCCGTTCGCACACTTAAACACCATGTCCTGCTCCTACAAAAATATCCAAATTTTTTAATCATTTGTGTGGAATTAAGCCGCCAGATCGCTAACCGAAGACACGTGTCTTACACGCGACTAGTTGTGTTTGTTTTGAGGATCTTTTACGGCACGTGCCATACACGCTTATTCGGAAGTGTGATAGTGTCGTATTGTGCTCATTATTAGTATATTAGTGTGGCTAATTGAAGGTTTTTACTGTTTTTTAAGGACATCTTTAACCATCTGATGGGGGCTCTTTTTTCAGCGTGGTGTGATGTTTATTCAGTCGGATCAGAGCCGAATGGTGGGAAATTATTCATTTTATTTCAAGTAGGTTTTTCTCCGGTTCATAGACTCGTTTGAGTTGAGTGAGTGTCGAAATAAGACATGCGGAAATACAGGTTTTTTAAGTTTGGCTTACAAAAATCAAATTTATTAATTGCTGCGAAACGGCTGTGGGTGTTTCGCGAAATTTTGCAGGCGATAACTGCCAAAGCTACAACTGTTTTTACGTCCGTACTAACACGTTACTGAATATTTTTAAAGAAGAAAATTGTAAGCCACAGATTTTTCATGAAATAAGAAACACATTCGAATTCCTCACAAAATTTTAAACTTTCGGGTAGCACAAAAAAATTCCAAATTTATGTGAACGATAGAGAAACTGACTCAGTGGCTTAAATGGTTCTTGAGATTTGACCAAAAAGGCGGCGTCATGTTTAAGCTTTTTTCGATATTTTTACCCGTGCAATGAATAGTTGTTTTGAAATGTATTTGGCTTTGCTTTTCTCACCTATGAGTTTCATAGTGTTTGAAAGTTTGAAGTTTCATGAGTTTGAAATGTTTGCGTGGTCCAAATTCCAAAAGTTTATAAATAGTAAATTCCGACAAATTCCAATTTAAGCGTGAAAGTTAATAAACAAAGAAGCATAAAAATTGAACAAAAAAACCATCGTCAATATGCAAGATAGAAAGATAATCGACATTAAGGAAAAATAAACGAAAAAATGCAAGGGTTGGTTATCAAAAAAGGAAAAGAACCCAATTTCGGAAAGTATTTCGCACACAAATATATGAAACTAAAAAGAGGAAAAATCAAATAAATGTGTAACAAATTGCAAAATATTGAATGCTTCTCAAAGACTA